TATCGAATATACTTAGAAAATCTTTTTGAAAAATCTTAAAATTCATTTATCTTAATTTGTTATATCGAAATATCAAAATGTTTTTAACACTTTTCTTCATTTTAATTCGAAAAAAATGATTTTTGCCAAGGATCGGGGGAGGGATTTTTCGAAAGATCGATCCCAGATCTAGCCTCCCCGAGGCATTTTTGTAAAAAAAAAATAAGTCCATATTTTAAAAGGGGAGAAGAAAATGTTTCGAAAAAGTAAAAAAAAAGTTTTGCCGCCTGGGTTCTTGTTCTTCATTGTTGAAGAACAAATGAGAGAAAATGTTTAAAGGGAGCTCTTTGCATTTAAAACAAGGGGAAATGAGGGGTTTTGATTTTTTTTTTAACTCTTATACTTGGCCCATGGATCAACCCGACCAGACCGGATCCCTTAGGGGATCCTCGTGTTTTTAAAAGAAAATGGAGAAATCCCCATTTCAGTCTCTCGTATTTTCTACACGTGTATTTTGCCCCTAGTCGAATTTGCACACCGAATTTCCTTTTAAATTTACCGCCAATTTTGTTTTCCTTTCAATTTAATCCTATTATTATTATTTTTTATTATTTTTTTATTTGTTCATTTTATTTTTATTTTATTTCCTATTTTTTTAATATTTTGTTTATACGTTATTATATATTTTTTATTTTATTTTTATTTTACATCTTATATATATATATATTTTCTTTCTTTCTTTTATTTTTATTATTACTATTATTATTATTATTACTATTATTATTTTCTTTTATTCTACTTATATATATATATATATATATATATATTGTTTTGTTTTCCTAATATTTATTTATATATGTATATATTTTTTTACTTATTTTATTAAATATACATACATCAACTATCCCTTTTTCTTCGTGTCCCCTCTCTTTGACAATTTTTTCCTTTTTTTTTCTTTTTTCTTCTTTTCGATGAATTGATTAATGGTAGTAGGCCTCCTTATTTTGTTTTCCTTCTTATTTTCTTTCTTTTGTTTTTTTTCCTCACGTTTTATATACATATGAATATTTTATTTTAACATCATTCTTTTTATTTTATTATTTTATTTATTTATCTTATTTATTAGACAGTACATTATATATATATTATTTTATTTTTTTCTTTCTTCCCTTCATTTTATTTTATTATTTCGTTTCGTTTTGTTTTTTTTATTTATTTTACTTTGTTTTTTATTGTTTTATTTTATTTTATTCTTTAGCCATTTTCTTAGGGTTTTATTTGTTTCATTATTTGTTTTTCTTTTGTTGCTTAATCTTGTATTTAGCATGATTATTTTTAATTTTTTTGCTAATAAATTTGTTTCCCTTATATTATTTTATTTTTATTTTTTATTATTATTTTTTCTTTTTACGAATTTTAATATGCGCACTTTATCTTTATTTCAGTTAATTCCTCAGCATATACATTTTTAAAAAAATATTGTAATTTAACCCTCTTCTATTTTTTAGTTCAACATTTTTATCTAACATTTTATCATTTAAGGGTATTTTCGTAAATCCGTTAAAGGTAAGCGATTTTGATAATTATTTTTACCTTTTAATTTATCTTGTAATTTTCTTAATTAAAGACAAATGGGAATTAATTGGTACCGAAAGGGAAGTTCAAAGGTGCTAACCTTTCTTTGTCTCTAATTGACTCCCGAATCCGACATATCTTTGGTAAGATGTAGATCAGGTAAGAAATAAGGTATCCGATCAACCTATTTGTTTTAAAATAAATGATCGGTGGCGACTCTAACCCACTCATTTCAAGTCAAAGCCCAATTCCGGGTCTACCCGAAAGACGGCCGCAACAATCCTAAATAATATTTGGTGAAAAAAATTACTTGAAAATATGAATGTAAAATGGTGGGTTTAAACCTATGACTTATTATATGAGAAATCAACACCCAACCACTAAACTAAGCTAAAGATTTCATGGATTTTTCATCTATATAGTATTTAAGTTAAATTATGATTAAAATTAATTATATCTATTTTATGAATATATTAATTATAAGTCAATTATAAAATATTTATAAAAATAACTAAAAAATCAATTATAAAATATTATAAAAATATATTTATATTATCAAGTATACAATAAATTATAATTAAAATATAATAATTATAAATTTATAATTTAAATTATAAAAGATTATAAAATAAAATTTATTTAATAATTAATAATAATTTATAAAAATATTTATAAAATCAATTATAAAATAAATCAATAAAAGTAATTTATAAAATTATATTTAAAATATCAACTATTAAATCTATTTACTCGCAAAATTTCTCAACCAGTATTAAAATCCCAATTAAATTTCAACAATATGTTTCGACAGCAGGAAAAAAAGAGAGGGAAAAGTGTGGCTGAGAAGACTTCAACCCATGTCCCTTATGTAAAGAAGACCATGCCCGTGCCACTCGCTTAAATACCAATCATTGTCATGAGAATATCAAATCAGTTTTTTATATTAAAATATCAAATCAATTTTTTATATTAAAATATCCAGAACCCTAAATCCTCAAAATTCATTTCCTCAATCATATTCAAATTAAACCTTAAAAATAAAACCCTCAGATTATGTTAATCCAGTTGCCTCTTCATCGCCCGTTGCCACCGTCCTCTGATCGCCATGAGTGTCACCGTCAGTACCACAGTGAGCACCCAAACGTCACGATCAACACCCAACCAACCATTCATCGTAATGGCTCATCGTTCGTCGTGAAAAAATCGTCAAACGTCCGTTGAAGAACCCACCGTCACCTCTACTTTTCACGAGTTTCGGTCGATCCCGGCATCATTTCACTTCACTGCCCTCTTTGTTTAGCTCTCTGAGAAAATATGGTCAAAACCCAACCAGTCTGATTCGACACCATTGCCCCGTCGTCGTTACCCCACTGTTGCTTCCGTGGGTAAACTTCCAATCGTGTTTTCTTTACGTTTTAGAGTATTATTGGTTGGTATTGGCGAGTGGGGAAGCCTTGAGCAATTGGGCCACTGAAACCGCCCGTTTGGTCACCTCACGCACCTCCACGCTCTGCCCCTGTGCATGGGTTGCTTAGCCGGCTTAAGAATTTCTAGAAACTGGTTTGATCAGGCATGCCGACCCAAATCGATTTGATTCAGAACTAATTTAACCGGCCCGTCTGACTACACCGATAGAATGAACTATTGACCTTTGAATCATAGATTTTGACCGGCGGTGATCGTTAACTTTATCAAAAAATCAATTTTTCTTAAAAGGTTTTATTTAATATTTTTCGATGTCTTAGTCCAAATCCAAATTTTGTTTTGTCAAATATGAACCCAATAAGCTGTTTTTCAACATTTTATCTTCTTATTTGATCAATTTTCCTGATTTATGTTTCTAAAGTAAATTCTTCTATTATGTATCCGAGATATTATAGGACATTGACTTCAAGTTCAAAGAGCGATCGAATAGAGTTTAAATGACCGATCGACGTGGCTTAGAAATCAAGGTAACACTCAGTACCCTATGTATGCTTTACGGTATTGATTGATGCATGATTTAAAATGTTTGGTCTAGTTAATCCGCATGAATATTCTTAAATTCATACTTAAAATGGAAAGAAAAAAAGATATTAAATCGATAAGACACTAATTTATGCATGCATAGTTGCTCTAATTTTGCCTGCAACAAAGTAACAGTATGCTCTTCAAGACATCTTGCAAAATTTGATTTGATAAATGTAAAAGAATTTGCGAAAGTGCTTTATGATCTTTACATTTTTCTCATTCGTTCATTGTGTTACCGGTTTCTCATTAAATCCTTCTGTTGTATCGACTAGATCTAATTGTGCAAGAACATCCCGAATCTTCACTTATCATAGCGAGAACTTGGTATTTTGGTCCAGTAGAGGAATATTACTCTTCATTGTATCCATTATCTTAAATCCAACACTCTAATACTAATTTGTTATACTATTAGAACTATTAACTACAAATCAAACGATCAAAATGAAAACAAAGAACATCAAGATTTATGTAGAAACTCAATGGAGAAAAACCATGAACAGAGGATAAGAATTTTACTATGTTAAGGAAATACAAGATTTGTTACAACTATTACAATTCTAATATCACAAAACCATATTCCCTTCCTTCTATTTATAGGGATAAGGAACAAATGAAACTAGCATAGAAAAAAACTATACTCTAACTAAAATTCCTTTCTTGATCAACATAAAGGTTGGCTAGATCAAAGAAAAAATTGGGTCACAACTCTAACATAAGATTCAACTCAATGATAGAACCCATCAAGAGACTTTGGTGATCAAAGGGAGTGTTGTTCTCCCTATAGTTTTCGAGTTCGAGCATATGTGTTTGTAGTATGTGTGCGAGTTCATTATCAATTGGTTCTGGGAATTCTAAACAAATACTATCTTATAATCACTCTAGACAAATAAAAAGAACTTAATTCTAAAATTATAAAAAAATTAAATTCAACTCCTTCAAAAATCATAAAAGTATAAGTTAAAGTAATAATAAAATAATATTTTAAATTTTTTAAAAAAATTATAATTTATCACCATTCTTATGAAAAATTCCAATCTTTTCCCCGGGATTTTTCTATTAATTATGTTTTGTTTATTTATCAAAAAAATGTCACCAAATGAACATCTCTAAGTAGTGGAAATAGGACACAAAGAACTTAATGTATCAAAGGTAAGTAGTGCCAAGCGATGTGTTCCACTATGTTGTTAAATGAAACGATATCTAGAGATAAAACCCTTCAGACGTTTCAAACATATATGTACTTCATGCTTCATTTCTGTACACCATAAGGCATACACTAAATGGTTGTATTAGTCTGTCCACTTTTGGACCTCAGCATTTCTTGTTCCCACTTCATGCTTTGTCCCCATCACCTCCCCATCCCATGCTTGTATATATATATATACCTAGTGAAGCTTCAATAAATGACAAAGGAAAATTGATAAAAAGAATTCGCAATGGACTCGAGTACCGTCGTAATTATTGTAGACGGAGATGGAGTTAGCAAATCGCATAAGAAGAAATCTGATGGATTTCCTTGTCAACCCTTCGTTTCGATTTTTAGTGCAAAACTAAGTAATAATGTGCATGACATGAGGAAAGTGATTCATAGCATCAAAGTTGGTGTTGCTCTCGTTTTGGTTTCACTTCTCTACCTGGTAGATCCTTTTTATAAGCGAGTTGGAGAGAATGCCATGTGGGCTATTATGACTGTTGTGCTGATCTTTGAGTTCTTTACAGGTTTGTGTGTGTGTGTGTGTGTGTATATATATATGCTTGCATTCATCTTAGTTTTCTTATAAATATGATTCATGTTATCTAAGAATGATTAGACTTATCAGGAGGCATGTTGAGCAAGGGCTTAAATCGAGGAATCGGGACCGTACTCGGAGGTGGATTGGGGTGTTTAGGTGCAGCTTTTGCCCAAGCCGTGGGTGGGGTTAGCAAAGGTATTGTTGTAGGCATCTTCGTCTTTGTTTTCAGTGCGGGCACAACGTACACTCGTCAGATGCCGAACATTAAGAAGTACGATTACGGAGCTATGATATTCATTGTGACTTTCAACATGATCGTGGTGTCGGGTTTACATACCGATCAAGTCATGGAACTAGCCCGAAATCGTCTCTCGACCGTTGTCATCGGCTTTGCTATTTGCATTTTTGTAAGTTTGCTGGTGTTTCCCATTTGGGCTAGTGATGAACTTCATAACACTTTAGCCTCCCGATTTGAACTCCTTGCTCTCTCTTTGGAAGGTACCAATACAAATATAATTTTATGATTCTCATGTTAATGTATATCATAGTACTTAAAGGACTAATTTGTTATGTTTTATTTGATGTAGGATTCTCCAAGGAATACTTCGAAAATGCCAACCAGAAGGAAAAGAAAACTAGTTCTAGTTTTAGTAGTAACTGCAAATCAATCCTTCATTCCAAGACAAAGGATGAATCATTGGTATAATAATATTATAATAAAAAGCCTTCCATGTTATTCAATATATAAAAGTTTATATTACGAATAAGTATTTAAAAAATACAATTTTTTAAGTACTTAGTGTAATTTTGGTTAAAGTAAATTTTTGAAGTTTTTTTGTCAAAATAGATATTAAAAGTATTATTTTTTATCAAAATATGTACTTAAAGTATTCAAATTTGTTCATCTAAGTTCTAAAATGATTGACACGTGACATTGTTTAAAGAATACTTCAGGTATTTAGATATAAAAATTAAATATTTTAAGTACATATTTTGATTAAAAAAGGTAGATACATATTTTGATCAAAAATATTACTTTAGGTATATATTTTGACAAAAAAAATGATATAATTTAGGTACTTGTTTATGATAGAAGTAATATATAAACTAAAGTAAAATATGAAACAATATATTGTTGTTTGATAAGCAATGGGAATTTTGCAGGTAAATTTTGCAAGATGGGAACCATGGCATAGGAAATATGGGTTTTCTTACCCTTGGGGAAAATACCTAAAACTAGGAGAGGATCTAAGAGAATTGGCTATAATCATCATTTCACTTAAAACTTGCCTTAGGTCATCCACACAGGTATGAAATATTATCATAACATCAAATTATTAGAAATGAAACTGTTTACAATGAAATATTTCTCACTCGCAATGATCAGTCATTTGGAGCATCACGAGAGTCGATTAAAGAATCATGTGAAAAAGTCGTAGCATCATTTGCGTGGACATTAAGAGAACTCGGAGAAAGCATTAAAAAGATGAGGAAGTGTCAATTCGAAGAATTGATTGTGCCCAAACTGAAATCAATAAGGGTGGAACTAAGTTTCATTGTGAACCCTTTCGCAGTCGAAATCAGTTTGGAGAAATGCGACGGGCTCGGATTAGCAAGCTTCTTATATTCATTGATGGAGATCGTAGAAAAGATGGAAGAATTGGCAAAAGAAGTGGAAGAACTTGGAGGTTTTCATGAAAATAGATGATGTCTTACTCCATACTACTTATATGTGCAAATTGCAATGCACATATATGAACACATAGAAGAACCAATGTTTTTGACTGTCGATATATTATACATGAAATCCCAAAGAAACAGATAGAGAGCGGCTGGAAAAGATTACATATTACTTATGTTATGTGTAAGGACCGATTATAATTATTAGAGAAGTATATATAGTGTCATACCTTTCGGAGTTGTTACATATACATTATGGATCTTGTAAAACTTTGTTTTTAATATATATAATTACCATATCCCATTTATTAATCGACTAATTCTGATCAAATAGCCTTCCATAGTCCATTAATTATTGTAGTATCCTTCATCATCATTAGTATCAACGGTGGAGATAATGCCACTTCGATAACTCTATATGCACGGTAATTTCATACATTTTTCTCAGATAAAGTTTTTGACCTCCTCCAGTCATCACCAGGTAGTCAACCGTCGCCATTAACCTCAAACTGTTGTGGATGTATTGACGGGATAGATAACGACGCCCCCGGAAGAAAGAAGGAACCCATTTGTAGTAGAGCCGGGTATATAGGCTAAGGCCCGCGGGCTACCCATATAACCCGCGGCATGTGCGGGCTTCGGGCCTAAAAAATAAATCTCGTTTAAATTGTAGGCTTATTAGCCCGGACCGTTAAATCCGTGGGGTTTAATGGGTATACCTACGAGCTCCGCGGGTAGCCCTCTTAATTTAATTCTTTTTTTCAATTTATTTTATGTTTTACGGAAGACAATTCACGTTTTATGTGCATTTTAGCCATAGCTCAATTCACGTTTTATGTGCACTTAAGTCTAAAGCCCAATTCACGTTTTAATTTGATGATATACAATTTTGAAGTATGAAGCCCAAATGCCCACAGGCCCATTCACATTTCGAAACCCTATGAGTAAACGTTCTCAATTCACACTGAAGCAAGCAATTGAAGCAAACCTCCAAATCCAATTCACACTCCCAATCTCAGTCTCTCACGAACCAGCGGCGCAATATCGTCGATTCGAACCAGCGCTGGATCTCCTCGCCACGAACCTGAACCAGCGTCGTGGGTCCTCCACATGAACCTTTTCAGATTAATAGTGTAATTGACTTTTGGTGTTATAGTGTTATTGGTGTTATGATTGGATCCTTGAGAATGAATAAGGAGCCCACTCCTCATGTGAATATATTCCTCGTATGGCCAGGTGCAACGAATGAAAGTGAATATATTACTACGTTTGCTGCTGAAAATACAGTCATTTAATGTGGATTGTGTTTTCTATTGAAAATACAATCATTTAATGTGGACCGTGTTTTATAACTTATATTGAGACTTCTCTGTTTTTTGCTCCTACATTCCTTTTCAAGTTGTTGGATCATTTTTTAAAGGTATAGTAAGTTAGAACATTATTTTTATTACATTTAAAAGCATTTAAAATTGTTGTTATTTAACGGGTCACGGATAAGACCGTTAGCCCGTGGTTTAAATGATACGGGCCGCGGGCCTTAGAATTCAAGACTGTTTATGATTGCGGGCTTTTTAAACCGCTCTGTTTAAGCCCGCACTAAAACCCGCGGGTTAAACGGGAGGGCAGCCCGTATATCCAGCTCTAATTTGTAGGGTTTCATCCCCATCATATTCCACATGTAATGATGATGTGGATAATGAAAACATACGTGGATTATAAAAAGAGGAAAATTCTAGCGCGGTTAAGTTTTTAACATTATATATTAAAATAAAAAAATGTTAAATACTATGATTTAAAGAAATTAAAATTGAAGTATTAAAAAAAGTAAAAATAATAGCTTATGTACTAAACATATAATTTATCTTATTTTTTTATAATAATTTACCCTTCTCTCTTTCGATTTCTCATCACTATGGTCATGCGGCTTGTAACTATAATAATTTTTTTATACCCAGCTCTAATTTATAGGGTTTCATCCCCTTCACTATTGTCGTGCTCATTTTAAAATTTAATTTTTTTTATTAATTAATTTTTTTATTAATTATGTTTATTTTAAAATTTTATTTATGTTAATTTATAACAAATTATTTATGTGTACTTACATTAAAAAAATATTTTTTGATCTATTGGTTGATTATAACACATTGATATTGGGTATTTGTCAAAATCAAATAGGGCTTGTTTGGTGCTCCGTGATTGGAATTAGGTACGATCAATTTTCTTAACATGATATTATAGCCAATGTCATTAAAGGTTCGAATTTGATAAGCATCATGCATTCTTTCATTTCACCTCCCACTCTAAAATGTTTCACCCTTCCTCCCCAATACTAAATTAATTCAAGTATTAAATTATTTTCAATTTTATGTGGAAAATAGAGCAAAGACAAGTAGCCTTTGATCTGGTGACAACGTCGACCATCACCTTTGTCACGTCAAACCAATATATTAGTGGCCAATCATATCCTTTACCATGATAAGTTGCTAAATTTTGGCCGATAATGTGATGAAAAAAAATATATCATTTAGGGTTTGGGATAATTATTTTCTAAGTAATGTGGTTGCTACAATTAGAGATGGATCGAAGGGGACGGGTGGGGAAATTATCTCCTGAAAATTTAAAATTATAATATATTTTAGATTTTTTTTCTATGTATTTTCAATTGAAAATATGTTTTCTCCCTTTTGACATTTATAAGTTAGTTCCTTCCTATAATTTTAGAAGTTCGTCCCTGTAACATAAAATCTTACTCCTGTCCCTAACTACAATATATGTTAGAAGATGCTCATACGACATGTTTTCCCCTAGTTGTAAGTATATCCGAAAGCTTCATCCATGGTCATCTTCCTCTGCATCACCCGAGCTATGTAGAAGACGCCCTGTAATTCATACGTCTTCATTAAGACACCCCGTGCTTTATGTGAGAATGCGTTACACCCCAATTTTCATTTTTTAAAAAACTTAATTAATTGATTTTTGGGGATCAAATTGGTAGGCTTTTGGGAATTTTTTGACCATTCTATAAACTTTCAGTCAATCTAGGAGCTTAGGCCCGAATTTACCCATGCCTTTGTCCATAAAATACCAAATAGCACAAGGAGCCCATACCTCTACAATTTAGGTTAGAGAAAATAACCTCAGTGACCAAAAATCCCATATAATATACGATTTTAACCAACTTTTTTCGGATTTGCCAAAATGACCAACAAAATCGCAATGCGATCGCTAATTCGCAACGCGATCTCCATTATCGCAAATCAGTTTCCAGATTCGCAACGCGATTATGACTATCGCAATGCGATTTTCCAATTTGGCGTTGCGATTTTCCCAATTCGCAATGTGAATAAGTAAATCGCAATGCGAATTTGGAAAATCGCAATGCGATACTGACTATCGCAATGCAATTTTCCTAATTCGCATTGCGATTTACGTATTCGCGTTGCGATTTTCATAATTCGCAATGCGAATACGTAAATCGCAACGCGATTAAGTAAATCGCAATGCGAATTAGGAAAATCGTAATGCGAATACGTAAATCGCAATGCGAATCTTACTATCGCAATGCGATTTACATAGCGCCATTCGTATTAACGCGTATTTTTTTTTTCAAATTCCAAACACGAATTTTTTCTTAATAAATCGGAAACTGAACCGTCCACAGTAATCGCAACTCATAACCTCAAACCTAAAATCACAACACTCAGTCCCATCTCCATCTCTCACTCCTACGGCGAAATCCGTCCCCATCTCCGAAGATTTCCGTCCCCATCGCCGACGAAATCCCTCACAACCATTCACAGTCAAAAATCCCTCACAATCATTCAGAAATGGAAAATCAACCTCCGAGGGTTAGTTTTTTTTTTTTTTTGAAATTTTTGCATTATTTTAGGTTTTTCATATTGAGATTGATGATAAGTTTACTGGTAATTTCAATAATAGATTAACCATTTCACTTAGATTTCTTATTAAATTCATTCGATTGCTGCCAATACTGCTAAACTGTTTAGCCTGTGAAGTTAGTATTTGTCTTTGTTTTGTCTTTTGGTTGAAGTAATGCAGAAGAAGAATAGTTTCGAGAATGAAAATCGCAACGCGGAAATAACTATCGCAACGAGAGAATCGCAACGCGAAATAAAAATCGCAACGCGAAACCAAAATCGCATTGCGATTTTCATTTCGCGTTGCGATTCTCTCGTTGCGATTTTCATTTCGCGTTGTGATTTTTCATTTCGCGTTGCGATTCTCTCGTTGCGATAGTCATTTCGTGTTGCGATTCTCTCGTTGCGATAGTCATTTCCGCGTTGCGATTCTCATTATCTCGTTGCGATTTTCATTTCAACCAAAAGACAAAACAGTGCTGCAAATTTTAGTTTCAAGAATAAACTACTATTTATGTTTATTGTTTTTGGTATATCTTGACAGTGTAGTTTTTGGTATATCTAACTTGGTATGTTTATTGTTTTTGTAGAAATTTTTTTCGGCTTCATTGACATTAAGGAATAAAGTTAGCCTAGCCACTACAATTGCTTCGAAGCTTTCACCTGCACAAAGAAAATTGTTTGAGGAAACCTGCTTCGGGCCATGGCTGAGAGTACAGCATCCGGGTGGAGATGCTAATTTGACCCATTTGTGGCTTCAGACCATGACTAGCGATCTACCCGACAGTATACAACGTGGTGAGGAAGAGATATGGTTTCATTTTCCACCGGCGTATACTTGTTTTGGGCGGAAGGAGTTCTGCTTAATCACTGGTCTACGATTTGGACACGATGATGTAGGCAGGTACACTCGTCATATCACCCGCCCATCATGGTTATCCAGGGTTTTTCCTAATGAGTCAATAGAGAAGCCGAACTTACACGTCGACGACATGAAGAAATTGTTTAATAAGAAAGATGGTTTTACTCGGATGAATGACGTCGATGTTGTCCGAGTATGCCTTCTACTACTTTTATATGCCGGATTTTTAGGCAGAAAGGCCAGACAACCTATTCCTCAGGAGCTAATATTATTGGTAGAGGACCTAAATGCATGGAATCTGTTTCTGTGGGGTTCGTATATATGGAAAGCTACTTGGACTAAGTTATCATCTGCCTTTGATGACCGCAAAAGTTTGCGGGGCGATGGGTCGAAATACACTTTGTCAGGCTTTGTTTGGGCCTTTAAGGTAAGAATTTCTATATAATGTTTTCAAAATTATTATTAATTATTTAACAATTACTAATGTTTGTCATTATATTGTTTGTAGATTTGGATATTCGAGGCCTTTCCCGCCATGAAGACATTTGCAATAAAAACTTCAAATGATATTCCCAGGGCTATTTCCTGGAAGAGGAAACGTTTGTTGGATTGGGAAGACTTAATACCATATGCGACAATAAATAATGTAAGTTAACACAAATACTATCATATATAAACAAGTTATTAATAGTAGACGTTTAACTTTGTTTGAGTTTTTATATTTTTAGGAGGCCAACATTCCATTAATGAGACTGACACCCACGGAGGCTGAGCTTGCCAATGATTGGTAGCAAGCTAGTCAGTGTTTTCTTGATGGCACGAATGATGAGTAGCCTCCACTTCCTCCACTTCGAGAGCCATCACCTCACCCAGAGCCATCACCTGATCGACCCAACTATACACCTCTACAACGAAAGCCATCACCTATCCCGTCACATCATCGAGCCTCTTCTCCACCATCACCTCATGATAGGCGACCGAAAAAGATGCCACGACTTCTATCTCCCTATTCTCCACCTCCACGGGATGAGTCAAGGGAGTTACGTGATGAGGTCAATGCCTTGCGTGAGGAGATCGGTACTCTACGCGATAATGATGGTGCATGGCGTGTGGAGGTGTCTACTTTACGTGGTGAGGTTGTCGCTCTACGTGAGATGGTAGTATCGTTGTAGAATGAGGTTCATACTCTACGCAACGAGGTAAGTTTAAGATTTTCCATATTTAACTTGATGATAAATTTACTCGTAATTTCACTTAAATTAACCATTTCACTTAGATTGCTTAGTAAATTTATTCGGTTGCTGCCAATACTGCTAAACTGTTTATTAACACTGTGAAGTTAGTATATGTCTTTTTGTTTTGTCTTTTGGTTGAAGTAAATTTATTCGGTTGCTGCCAATTTTGCTAAACTGTGTATTCTTTAACACTATGAAGTTAGTATTTGTCTTTGTTTTGTCTTTTGGTTGAAAGTTTGAAATATATTTGTCTTTGTTTTCACTATTTAAATATCATGTCTGTTTATTTACTGATATTTGTATTTAATTATTTAGCGGACCGATAAGGTGGATGCTTTACGTTGGGTTTTTCTTGCACGACAGAGTTCACGCATCAGACGACGTGCACGTGCTATTAAGTCTCCGTATACCCCAATAGTACGAAGACACCGCAAGAAGAAGCCCGACTCGCCTGCCATCCCTCAAGAGTCCACTCCTATCGTTGAAGAGGCCCCTATCATTCCTCGAGAGTCCCCTCCCACCGTTCAAGAGGCCACTGTCATCGTTGAAGAAGTCCCTCCCACCATTCAAGAGCCCGATTCACATGGCGTCATATGTAGGATTCTTGAGAAACCCTCTGACATGCCGGACATGATGGATTCAAGTTGGCTCTCGTATGAGTTACCGGCCAGTACCATACCGGTATCTGAAGTGGAGAGGAAACAACTACCGGACACAATTCTGGATAACACCCTTTGGGCTAAGACCGCAGTTGATTTTTATCTACATGAGCGGAGCCAGGGGTGTTTCACTGACATATGCAAGCTCAACGATGATATCTATTTGTTGCTTGATTGGTCTTGGTGGGGCGTATTATTAGGGGTCGAAGACAATGGCTATTTCGATGGAGGGGTAAGTCTTATATTTTTCTTATATTTTAATTTGATTATTTTTTTTAAATTTATGTAAGTTACTAATATATGTCTTTTTTTGTAAAACAGCATATCGATGCGTGGGTGTCACGTCTTCTAATAATTAGGAAACTTAAGGAAAATAAAAGAAATACGCGATATACAATTATGCCGACGTCTTTTAACGCCGTTCACTTGAAGAATCAATGAGATGAATCATTTGCGTTGGGCAATGGACAAGCTAAACTTTATCATGCATGGTGGGAGGTCGATAAGGTTAGTGTTTATTTTAGATTGAGTTTAAAGGTATTCATAAATAAGTACGCAAATGAGTGAATTATTACTTATGATTGCAGGTGTTTATCCCTGTTTTGGAACGTAAACATTGGCTTCTCGTCGAGCTTCAGATCCCATCCCTTAAGGCAATAGTATATGACAACATGATAAATTACATATCATTGGCTGATTTAAGAGATATTATTAAGGGATGGAGCTCTTATTTGGCTAAATTCTTGGATGCGATAAATTATTGGACTCGTTCTGGAAACAAGAAGCCAAAGAAGCTCAATATTACAGTTAGCAGAGACGAGACCGCACCACAACAAACGAAAGGACCCAGAGGGGATTGTGGTCCTCTCGTATGCTTGGCGTTGGACCGTTTGATCACAGGAAGTATACAGTATCTACCTCCCACCGATAGATATAGAGCTGCAATAGGCTTGTGGTTTCGGCATTATATGGCTAGATCGATATATACGAGACGCTGCCTACCTGCATCCGCGTTATAAAAATGTCCATAAACAATTGGTATGTTTATAGGCTTGTGGTTTGAAAATGTTTGGTTAAGTACCTAGAATTCAATAATTTGTTGTTTGTAGGTTTTAGATGTGTAGAAAGTGTTGTTTGAGAAAATGTTTGGTTTATGCAGGTTAATCTCAGAAGTAAGCTGCGTGAAAATGATGTATGGCTGCAAAAGTTGATTCAATAGTAAATGAGGAAATAAGAATTATTGCTTATTTTTTGATTGTTTAATTGATTTGTAAAAGGTGATTTGTAAAAGGTGATTTGTTTAATTGATGTTAACATAATTCTTATTTGTGCTTGTTTAATTGATTGAAATGTAATGGTTGATTTTGTTGATTTCAATCTGTATTATGTTGAAGGCAAAAAGTACTATCGCAATGCGAAATGAAAATCGCAACGAGAGAATCGCAACGTGAAATGAAAATCGCAACGAGAAAATCGTAACGCGAAATGAAAATCGCAACGACAAAATCGCAACGCGAAACTAAATTCGCGTTGCGATTTTCATTTCGCATTGCGATTCCCTCGTTGCGATTTTCATTTCGCATTGCGAAATTCGCGTTGCGATTTTCATTTCGCATTGCGATTCTCTCGTTGCGATTTTCATTTCGCATTGCGATAGTAATTTCCGCATTGCGATAGACATTAAGATGATTGCCTATTAAGTGATAACAACTGAACAGATCATAGCAATTTTCAAACTCAAGTTACTAATACATGCCTAACTGAAAATGTTAAAAGTTCACACATAAAATCTACATAATACAACGTTTGCATTTAAAAATCACCTAAGTTAACAGTCCCAAAAGGTGAAGCCAGTTGTGATTGGGATTTTAAAGATGATTGCGATTTTGATTGCCTTTTTCTTGACACCATATGAGCTTTGGATTTTGATGATGATCCATACTTTGGTAGAGGAAAAGATGATTGTGATGGCACTGGTGATCCACATGTCAACCTTGTATGACCACTTTCCTTGCACCGACTACATGTCGTTCTCTTCTTCTCTTCACCCTTAGACGGTATACGATCGTGACTTTTTGGTCGGCCAGGTAGCCTTCTGTCCATGGCTGGTGGCAAAACTATTTGTAAGTCATCTGGTATGTCCCACTCAGAAGGATGTGGAATAGGGTAGACAATCTCGGCATAAGTCTGTCGATATACTTCTGTAGTGTAGCAATCCATAGCGTATGTGCTTGAATCATCTTGGTTTAGATGAAGAGCAACTTTTATAACATGGCCACACGGATAACCAGATGTTTGCCATTTCATACAACTACACGTCCTTGCATTTAGATCGACAAGTCCATTTAAGTTATTATCCAGTACTTCAAACAAAGTGTTTGAACATGGTTCAACTCTCCATGACGTTGACTTCACAACACTTTTCGTTATCTTTTTTTCAGTCCATGGTGTAACACGATGTTCCAATGTTCCTGTAAATTTAAATAAATAATACTTAGTAAAATATATGATAAGTTACAAATTCAAAGAAATAATACCTGCATGGTTTCTTTTCTTGTAGTACCACTCTTAAATAGAGGCTCGAAAAAACTCCATTAACATAGTAATGGGTAATTTCCGGGAATGACGACTTAGAGCGTTGATTGATTATGCACTATTAGACGTCATGAAACCATATCTTGCTCCAAGTTGATGTACTCTTGACCATCTTTCAAACCCGACATCTTCTAGTGTTTGAGCACACTGAGGCAAAACACGTCTTAAACAGTTTATATGCTTATTGAAATCCACTTCCCGATAAGCTTTTACAGCCTTCCAGTATGTCCATTTTTGCTTTTTTATACCAGCAGACCTTGATTTTAGATTTCTATACAAATGAGCACCACAAAGTCCATGAAAAGCATCTGGGAAACACCTTCTAACTGCGTTGTCAATTGAGTTTGCCCTATCGGATATGATTGTCAGATTGCTAATAGGACCTATACAATCCCTAAGATGCCCCATAAACCATGTCCATGAATCAGAGGTTTCAGATTTGCCAACCCCGTAAGCTATTGGCAATATCCCATTGTTAGCATCCATGGCTACTGCTAATAAGTTTACTCCAAGGTATCGACCTTTCAAATGTGCTCCGTCAACTATAATAACTGGGCGCATGCAAGTAATAAACGAACGAATCTACAAAATAAAATACACAAGAAATATAATCATTTAAATGTGAAATGCATGTAACTAACAAAAATGAGTCAACAGAATTATATTGATTTACTAACCGCAGCACCAATGGCGATAAACAGCAACTCAAAGCGTCTATCTCTATCTTTTTTGATATGAGTTACCGACCCAGGATTTTTCAGCTTTAAATTGTGACAATAAGCCGGCAGTTGGGTAAACGATGCTTCTGGCGACCCCCTCAACAATTCCAAGGCATAACATTTGGCTCTCCAAGCTTGAGAATATGATATACTAATCTTGAACCGAGCATTCATGTCAGTCATAATTTCATGTCCCCGATATACCCTGCCATTCAAAAACATTAACTCAGCCAGAAAACCACCCAACACATTTTGTTTGCCTGTCTATTGTGAGGAAAAACTTGGGTTCTTGAACATGTATGTTTATCAATAAAAGTCCTAACTTGAAACATTTCACAATCTTTTATCCTCTTTGCAATCATACGCCACGTACAGTTTTTGTCAATCATACACCTTGTTTCGAAACGATCTTTGCTTGATTTGTTAACTTTTAGTTGATAGCCATCTTCCACACATTTCGTATACAAAGCTATCTTCAAGTCTTCCTTTGTATCAAAACAATCATCTTTCTTGATACGAATAACTTTTGTGTAACAATCAACTGCTTTCTTTACCAACTCTTCTTCCGGTATCTAAAGTAATTCTGACATATTCCAGTTATACTCCCGTGGCATTTTCTTTTCTTCGGGGACTTTTTCTTCTTCTTTTTCTTCTTCAGGATTATATGAATTACAGAATGGATGTTCAACATGTTCATTCACAGTCGTAACTTCCTCCTCATTATCATCAACAACATCTTCCTCGGCAACGGTTATTTCATCATCAAAATTCGGGTATTGACCAATATCAAAATCATTACACGCAGGGTCTGTTTCTTCTTATGAAACATCATCAAAATTTGAGTATTGACCAATATCAAAGTCCGGGTATTGACCAAGATCAAATTTCGAATACTGACTAGTACTCACAATTTTTTCTGTTGGCTCATCATCGTCTAATTGGTCAATACGAAAACCGGAATTTGGTGCTGAAAGTTGATTGGGATTTGGATTAGAGAAAGGTTGTGGGTTTTGAGAAAAACTTAGTTGATTACTACCCGCTACTGACCCAACAATACTACTTCTAGGTTCAACAACATATAATGTAACATCATCACTTGAAACACTAATGTAAGCAATGAATCGTTCAACATCTTCATTGTCGGTTAACAAATAAACTTTACCATTTCTCTGATAAGATAACCTAAATCCACTTAGGGGCTCTAAATTCAATTTCTTTGAAACACATAACATTAGAGTTTCATAAGTTAACTTTTTTAATGACAGTTTTAGTTGAAGATTCATGGGTAAAGACATATATTGTAAAACACCATGAACATTCTCCCATGACCCTCCAAAACACAAATCTATCCAAACATGATCAACATTAGATGATTTCATGGTTGTAAATTAATTTACTAAACAAACGAGCTGCGAAACTAAGACCTGTTGCCGGATGGGGAAGGATATAGGAACGGATGTCGCCGGAGAGAGTGATAGATGGAGATGGAATGAGTTGCGATTTAGGGATTTAGGTTATGAGCTGTTGCTTCTGCGTAGATATATACACAAAAAATTTGTGTTGCGAAAATAAAACCTATTACGAACTTTGAAAATCGCATTGCGATTTTGTATTATCGCGTTGCGAAAGTAAGTATCGCGTTGCGATTTTCCTAATTCGCAATGCGAATAAGTAAATCGCAATGCGATACTGACTATCGCAATGAGATAATACAAAATCGCAACGAGATTCTGACTTTCGCAACGAGATTCTGACTTTCGCAACGAGATTCTGAAAATCACAATCATCTTCAAAATCTCAATCACAACCGGCTTCACCTTTTGGGACTATTAACTTAGGTGATTTTTAAATGCAAACGTTGTATTATGTGTATTTTATGTGTGCACTTTTAACATTTTCAGTTAGGCATGTATTAGTAACTTTAGTTTGAACATTGCTATGATCTGTTCAGTTGTTATCACTTATTAGACATTCATTTGACTATCGCAACGGGGAAATCGCAACGCGAAAATGGCTATCGCAACGCGAAAAATGGCTATCGCAATTCGAAATGAAAAATCGCAACGCGAAAATGGCTATCGCAACTAGAAAATCACAATGCGAAATGAAAATCGCATTGCGATTTTCTCGTTGCGATTTTCATTTCGCATTGCGATTTTCTCGTTGCGATAGTCAGTTTCGTGTTGCGATAGTCTGTTTTGCCTTCAACATAATGCAGATTGAAAATCAACAAATCAACTATTACATTTCAATCAATTAAACAAGCACAAATAAGAATTATGTACACACCAATTAAACAAATCAACATTTACAAATCATTTTTTACAAATCAATTAAACAATAAAAAAATAATAATAATTCTTATTTCCTCATCAATTATTGAATCAATGAATCAACTTTTGCACCCGTACATCGATTTCACGCAGCTCACTTAAGGATTAACCTACAAAAACCAAAAATTTGCTCAAACAAGACTTCCTACACATCTAAAACCTACAAACAGCAAATTATTGAATTATAGGTACTTAACCAAACATTTTCAAACCAAAAGGAGTATATATGTTAACAAAACTTGCATTTGACTTACCAATTAACAATGGATACTTTCATAACGTGGATGCAGGTAGGCAGCGTCTAGAATATATCGCTCTAGCCATATAATGCCGAAACCACAAGCCTACTGCAGCTCTATCTCTATTGGTGGGAGGTAGAAACTCTGTGCTTCCCGTCGTCAAACGCGCCAAGCACATGCATACGAGAGGACCACAATCCCCTCTGGCTCCCGGCGATTGTTGTGGCACGGTCTCGTCTCTGACAACAGTGACATTGAACTTCTTTGGCTTCTTGTGTCCAGAATGAGTCCAATAATTAATCCCATCCAAGAATTTAGCCAAATGAGAGCTCCATCCCTTGATAATATCTCTCAAATCAGACAGTGATATGTAATTTATCATGCTGTCATATACTATTATCTTTAGGGATGGGAGCTGAAGTTGGACGAGAAGCCAATGACGACGTTCCAAAATAGGGATAAACACCTGCAATCATAAGTAATAATTCATTTATTTGCGCACTTATTTATGAACACCTTTAAAAAATTTAAAAAATAAACACTAACCTTATCGACCTCCCACCATGCAGGATAAAGTTTAGCTTGTCCATTGCCCAACGAAAATGATTCATCTCGTTGATTCTTCAAGTGAACTGCGTGAAAAGCCGCCGGCATTATTGTATATCGTGATTTTTTTTTAATTTTCCTAAGCTTCCTTATTATTAGAAGACGTGACACCCACGCATCGATATGTTGTTTTACAAAAAAAAGACATATATTAGTGAATTACATTAATTTTTAAAAAAATTAATCAAAATCATATATAAGTCAAATATAAGACTTACCTCCCCATCGAAATAGCCACTGTCTTCAACCCCTAATAACACACCCCACCAAGACCGATTAAGCAACAAATACATCTCATCGTTGAGTTTGCTTATGTCAGTGTAACACCCTTGGCTCCGCTCATGTAGATAAAAATCAACTGCGGTCTTAGCCCAAAGGGTATTATCCAGAATTGTTTCTGGTAGTTGTCTCCTCTCCACTTCAGATACTGGAAGGGTACTAGCCGGTAAATCATACGAGAGCCAACTCTCATCCATCATGTCCGGCAATGGTGGGGGTTTCTCAATAATTCGATATATTACCCCATGTGAATGGAGCTCTGGAATGGTGGGAGGGACCTCTTCAACGATGACAGTGGCCTCTTGAACGGTGGGGGGGACTCTTGAGGGATGATAGGGGCCTCTTGAACGATTGGAGGGGACTCTTAAGGAATGACAGTTGAGTCGGGCTTCTTCTTGCGGAGTCTTCGCACCATTGGGGTGAACGGAGACGTAATAGCACGTGCACGCCGTCTGATGCGTGAACTCCGTCGTGCAAGGAAAACCCGACGTAAAGCATCCACCTTATCGGGCCGCTAAAAAAAATTAATACATAAATCAGTAAATAAAGAGACATGATATTAAACAAAGACAAATATGTTTCAAACTTGCATTGTATTCACCCAAGTCATTATTCTATCATAGTTCACAAAATGCATCAGATAACATTCCAGAAGTAAGCACTTATATAAACATTTAAAAGGACAACATATATAAACATTCAAGAAGAAGAATAGTTTACTTTCGCAACACGAAACTTACTTTCGCAACGCGAAAATGACTATCGCAACGCGGAAATGGCTATCGCAATGCGAAATGAAAATCGCAACGATAAAATCGCAACGCGAAACACAAATCGCATTGCGATTTTCATTTCGCGTTGCGATTTTGTCGTTACGGTTTTCATTTCGCATTGCGATTTTGTCGTTGCGATTTTCATTTCGCATTGCGATAGCCATTTTCACGTTGCGATAGTCATTTTCGTGTTGCGAAAGTAAACTATTCTTCTTCTGCAAATTGAAACTTGAATGGATTGCATTACTTCAACCAAAAGACAAAAACAAAATCAAAAACAAATACTAACAAAAATAGTTTAGCAATATTGGCAGCAACCAAATGAATTTATTAATCAATCTAAGTGAAATGGTTAATCTAAGTGAAATTACGAGTAAATTTATCATCAAGGTAAATATGAAAAATCTTAAACTTACCTCGTTGCGTAGAGTATGAACCTCATTCTGCAACGATGCTACCATCTCACGTAGAGCGGCTACCTCACCACGTAAAGTAGACACCTCAACACGCCATGCACCATCGTCTTTGCGTAAAGTACCGACCTCCTCACGCAAGGCATTGACCTCATCACGTAACTCTCCTAACTCATCCCGTGGAGGTAGAGGTGGAGAACAGGGAGATAAATGTCGTGGCATCTTTGCCGGTCGCCTATCTTGCGGTGATGGTGGAGAAGAGGCTCGATGATGTGATAGAATAGGTGATGGCTGTCGTTGTGGAGGTGTATAGTCGGGTCGATCAGGTGATGGCTCTGGGTGAGGTGATAGCTCTGGGTGAGGTGATGGCTCCCGAAGTGGAGGCTGCTCATCATTCATTCCATCAAAAAAACGCTTACTAGCTTGCCACCAATCAGTGGCAAGCTCAGCTTCCGTGGGTGTCAGCCTCTGTAATGGAGTGTTGGCCTCCTAACAATATAAAAGCTCAAACAAAGTTAAACGTGTACTAGTAATAACTTGTTTATAAACATATGGTAGTATTTATGTTAACTTACATTATTTATTGTCGTATACCGTAGTAAATCTTCCCATTGTAAGGTCCGTTTCCTCTTCCAGGAAATAGCCCTGGGAATATCATTTGAAGTTTTTATTGCATATGTCTTCATGGCGGGAAAGGCCTCAAATATCCAAATCTACAAACAATATAATAACAAACATTAGTAATTGTTAAATAATTACTTATAATTTTGGAAACATTATATAAAAATTCTTACCTTAAAGGCCCAAATAAAGCCTGTCAAAGTGTATTTGGAACCATCGCCATGCAAACTTTTTCGATCATCCAAGGCAGACGATAACTTATTCCATGTAGCTTTCCATAAATACGAGCCCCATGGAAACAGGTTCCACGCATTTAGGTCTTCTACCAATTTGATTAGATTATTCGGAATAGGTTGTCTGGCCTCTCTGCCTAAAAAGCCGGCATGCAAAAGTATTAGAAGGCATACTCGGACAACATCGACGTCATCCATCAGAGTAAAACCATCTTTCTTATTCAATAATATCGTCAGGTCTTCCACGTGTAGATTCGGCCTCTCCAGCTCAGGAAAAACCCGGGATAACCATGATGGGCGGGTAATGTGTCTAGTGTACCGACCTACATCATCGTGTCCGAAGCGTAGACCGGTGATTAAGCAAAACTCCTCCCGCCCAAAACACGTATAGGCCGGTGGAAAATCAAACCATATCTCTTCATCACGACGTTGTATAGTATCTGGTAGATCCCTAGTCATGGTTTGAAGAAACAGGTGTGTCAACATCGCATCTCCACCGGGATGTTGTACTTTCAACAATGGCCCGAAGCAAGTATCCTCAAACATTTTTCTTTGTGCAGGTGAAAGCTTCGACGCAATTGTTTTGGCCAGGCTGACTTTATTTCTTAAGGTCAATTGAGCCGAATAAAAGTTCTACAAAAACAATAAACATACTAAGTTAGATATACCAAAAACTACACTGTGAAGATATACCAAAAACAATAATAAACATAAAGAGTAGTAGTTTATTCTTCAAACTTAAATTTGCAACACTGTGAATTTCTTATTTGTCTTTGTTTTTTGGTTGAAGTAATGCAATTCATTCAAGTTTCAATTTGCAGAAGAAGAATAGTTTCTGAAAATGAAAATCGCAACACGAAAATGAAAATCGCAACGCGAATTTGACTATCGCAACGAGAGAATAAAATCGCGTTGCGATTTTGTCGTTGTTCTCGTTGCGATTTTCATTTCGCGTTGCGATTCTCGGTTGATTTAATAAGCAATCTAAGTGAAATGGTTAATCTATTATTGAAATTACCAGTAAACTTATCATCAATTTCAATATGAAAAACCTAATAATAATGCAAAAATTTCAAAAAGAAAATAATTAAAAAATCTAACCTTTGGTGGTTGATTTGGTTGATTTTCCATTTCTGATTGTGAGGGTGGCTCTGAGAGATGGAGATAGACGGATTTCGCCGGAGATGGGGACGGATTTCGTCGGAGATGGGTGAGAGAGTGAGAGATGGAGATGGGACTGAGTTGTGATTTTAGGTTTTAGGTTATGAGTTGCGATTACGGGATATACTGTGGACGGTTCAGTGTTCCAATATATTAATATTCGTGTTTGGAATTTGAAAATAAAATACGCTTTGCGATACTAATGGCGCTTTGAAAATCGCATTGCGATTATGTATTATCTCGTTGCGAAAGTCAGTATTGAGTTGCGAAATTAAGTATCGAGTTGCGAAAGTCAGTATCGCGTTGCAGTTTTGTATTATCGCGTTGCGATTTTCCAAATTCGCATTGCGATTTTCCAAATTCGCATTGCGATTTACTTATTTGCATTGCGAATTGGGAAAATCGCAACGCGAAATTGGAAAATCGCATTGCGATAGTCATAATCGCGTTGCGAATCTGGAAACTGATTTGCGATAATAGAGATCGCGTTGCGAATTAGCGATCGCATTGCGATTTTGTTGGTCATTTTGGCAAATCCGGAAAAATTTGGTTAAAATCGTATATTATATGGGATTTTTTATCACTGAGGTTATTTTCTCTTTAGGTTATGGCATTGTTGATATTTGAAAATATTAAAAATAACTTTTATATTAGATATGGATCAGATGTAGAACACCCCAAAATCAGTTGTCCCCGTGAGATACAATACCCATATACCTTTAGGGTGCGTTTGGTTCACGAAATGTAAGATTACCAGTGGAAATAAAAGATTACCAGGGAATAAGATTACTGGGAATGTTACATTACTGTGTTTGGTTGGTTTGGCAGGAATGTAAGATTACAATGTTTGGTTGAAGGAATAAAAGATTACTGGAATGTATATTTTACCAAATTATCCTTGTTCTATATTTTTTAACAAGTGAAATTCTAAATACTTAAATAAAAATTATTTATATAAAAATTCATTGATAATATATGTAAATAAAAATTCATCGATGATATATTATTTTATTATCTAAATATATCATGTATTATTTTAATTTTAATTAATATTAAATTTTACATAATTTATCTAAAAATATATTAAAATTTTACTTCAACATTTAACTAAATATTCAATATTAGGGATTTTTAACTTTGACTATGATATTAAATCGACCATGACGATGATTCTGTTGGGTAATGTTTTCCACACAAAATAGCTATGACCATTAAAATAAGTTTTCCATTCTTGTTGTCGAGGATTTATTAAATGAATTATTAGGGGTTAAATATTTTTGACTATTACCAGATTTGAATCAAGGAAGTTGATATAAAAAAAAACTACTTTTAAAACTCACCACACCCATTTTGAATTCAAAGTCATGCTAATTGGTCTTACGAATGCCCAACTACATTTCAATCTCTAATGAATGAGCTTTTTGGACCATATTTGAGGATGTTTGTTTTGGTTTTCTTTGATGATATATTAATTTACTCTGACAATTGGGATTTACATTTACAACACTTAGAAATAGTATTAAAATTACTACAAACTAACTGATAATTTGTCAAAAAGAGAAAATATTTTTTTGAACACAAAACGGTTAAATGTATGGGACACATTATTTTTGTCCAAGGAGTTGCAACGGATCCTAGAAAACACTGTCCGAACACCAGCCAAACACTGTCCGAATCCATCCTTTTTATCTTTGATATTTTAACTAGTCATGGTTCTACTAGAGAAAGTATCAACTCCACTTCCCTTTCCATTTTCATGTATCAAGCTGAAACACTGTCCGAATCAAGCAATTTAGGCAGCTGAATTTTACGATTACAATCGTTAGCCAAAAGGAATATGAATGTTTTATTCATGGTCCAAAGAAACTCGGGAATTCATATTTAAAACACACCAATGGAATTGAATCAATAGCACCCACAAGAGCATATGCTAGCCACAAAGCAAACAAGGTACCACTTCCATAAAATATGATTGAATATGCATCTTCATTGTCAAGCTGCAGGTGTTTAGTATTCCAATCATCAGAATTGATTCAGAAACCATTAGAAATAGAAAGTACTTGTAAGAAAAGAAGCAAACTATAAAAAAACTCTCAAAGTATGATGAATTGAATGTGAGCAAACTTACAACACCGTTTGAAATTGAATTCTTTTTAAACTAACTATAGAAATAGGGATAAAGAGGGACAAACAAAACAATATGATCGGCCAAAATTACAGGGAAAACTATTTATAAGAATTGAAGAAAGAAGAAAATGAATTGGAACTAATCATCACAGCAACCAAATTGCAAATTCATTAAAGAAGTTAACTAATACATAATGAACAAAATCTAAGCAAGGCAAAGAACAGAAAAGAAGTGGTTCTAACCTTCACTAAGGTGAAAACACAAAATATCATTTCGGGGAAAAAGATATGTGCAAAGGGAATATGACCCTCTAAGGATCTTAATATATAAAAATCTTTTTAAAAAAATAAAAACATACACATATCCCAAACTCACAACTGAGTCCAAAATCCAAACAACAATGAGTGAGACAGATGGTGAAAAACTATGATTAAGTTACTATGTTGCTCAGGTAACCGCTCAGGATCGAAAAAATGGTCGAAAGTTTCATCAAGCATTCAACAAATGCCTTCATTGATTCCAAAACCTTATCATTGCAAACTAATTTGATAGCATAAAATCAAACAAAAGTTCATTTCTCAGTCAAGTAAAGAACCTATGATGTTTCTTTTTCTTTTTTTTCAATCCATTCTAATAGATCGAATCAATAGGTGCACATCTTTGTAGCAAATTATGGATTTGAAAAGCATAACCACTTGTAATAAAATCATACCATCTACACCAACCATTAGCCCCAATTGTGAGAATAGACATCTAAACCAATTAACAGAACAAAAAGATTTGGGGGGGGAGAAAACACCATGCAATTCAACATATACGAAGCAATTTATGAAATCTAGCACTGTCTACAACATCCAATACTAGAAGAATTTATGAGAATTCAACATTAGTGCATGATTGATCCAAGTATAACATCTATTCTAACCTCCCTCAATTTCTAAACATAGTTTCTAACTAAAATCCTTCACCACCATGTTTCTAAGAAAATACCTAGAAGTTTCAGGTGAATGCAAGTTCAGGGAGCATCAAATCCAACTTACACCAAGACTATCATTAAACTTATGCAAACAAACCTCCCCGTTTCAACTAAAGTCCAAAACATGCCAGGACAAAAGAATCCTACCCAAAATGTTTCCCTGTCTTCTTTTCAGAACAAAATAAACATTCAAAAGCCCTCACACCAGGGACACCAATTAACTTACTTTTTTAGTGAATTCCGTGAAAGACAACATGAAAAAAATTGCTATACAACAGGATAGAGGACCAGCACTACATTAAAGAGGCGTATTTGAGCTTGAGTCAAATTCATAGACAACACATAACTAAAGCTTAATTATGTTATTCAACTCTTGAAATTTGCTCGAGCTTGCTTAATATAAGGTTCCTTTCCATATCCGAAAAACAATAGCCTCTGCTCAAGTTTTAGTACAGTAAAAAGAAGCAGAGCATGGTCTTATTTTTTAGTTTCATTCCAAACAAGCAAATTGTGCTATAAAAAAAATTAAACCCTAAAGAGCCTAGTAAGTAATTACTATTTTAATCATTTAAATCCTTTTCGTCATCTAAAGTTCAAAAAAAAGAATCAAACAATGAGCAATGTAGACCTCATATTACTATATTTTTAAAGAGACCCAAATTTCCACAAGTTAGCCTCGCATACAAAAATTTAGAATAATAATAAGAAAAATTAAAAGAAATTAAGAAATTCGAACCTTTCAAACCAGAGCTACTCTCTTCTTTCTTTTTATCAACCTTCATTGGCTCCCTCTTCACTTCCTCCTTGACCTCCTCTTTTTTAATTTCCTCCTTTATCTCCACATTCAGATCCACCTCTTAAGCCTTTTTGTTCTTCTCCTTCGCAACTCTCACAATAGCCGCAATCTCCTTATCGACGTTATCTTTCCGAAGAAAATCACTTTCTTTGGCCAGAAAATCGAAGACTTTGTCCAAAAACCCAACTGGATCGGATGGATCCAAGCTCGCGTTAAACGGAACCGCTTTCAGTGGCAGTGATGAAGAAGTCGAGAGTTTCATTCCGGAATCATGTTAAACGAAGGGAGAAGGCTATTTTAGACCGGGGGACGGGAATAATGAAATACCTAAGGGAGACGAGGGAAAGATATTCTCGGGAAAACAGTAAAAAAAGTTACTGTTGGTATTATTTTTTAACTGGTATTTGGTAATGAGTCTTTAACCAAACGTAGGTATATTCATCTGGGAAAAAAATATTCCTCCCAGTAAAGAGTTATACCGTGAACCAAACGGGACCTTAAGCTTTACCATTACCTTCATCGTCGTTTATTCATCGATCAGTCGTGGCATGCAATCTCACCACCAGTGTGATTGTCGTCAACTTGTAACCAAGATCCAATCGTCCCCTTGTTGTGAAGCCTTGTTGTGAAGCCTTGTCGTTTTTCGTGAAGTTCAGCTTGAATCTTCATCGAAAACCCAAGTTCTCCCTCGTTGTTTTTGTCAATTTCGACCATATCTGTTGTGCGTTATTTGCATCACCCTGATCATCAAAAAAGCCACCTCATTCTGACCAAAACCCAACCTTCCATGTGCTGAGTCATCGCGCCAATCACCGTGGACATCACTCAAAATTTTCACGTGGGAGAGTTTTGAATTTTCAAAACATTTCTGATCATTTTCCTGTTGATCCAAGCCACTATAAGCTTTGATAAATATTTTATTTTTGTCATTCGAGTCGTTCTCGTTCATTTAGTGGCGTTTTCCAACCGGTCAGAGTTGGGAGTGAACATTTTGCCATTTATGACTTTGATGAATCCTTAGAAATGATTTCTCTTTTTTTTCTTAAAATTTTTATCTTGTTTTTCAAATCAAGATTTTCTTTTTTGAATTGTTCAATTTTAATTTTTTAAAAATTTAATCATTTTTCAAAGTTTCATTTTGATTTTTAAAATCCAATTTTTCTTTTAAAAGAGAATCATTTTCGATTTTAAACTTAGAAATTATTTTCTTCCATTTAGAATTAATGGCATCAAATTCCAAAATTAATTCATCATAATCATCTTGTAACTCATCAAAAGAATAGGAAATTAATTCATTTGAGTTAGAAGTTTGAATCTTCTTGGATAGCCATAAGACAAAGATTGGCTACTTCATCATCTTCATCATTGGTGATGTCCTCATCACTCCAAGTAGCAACAAAACCTTCTTCTTTGGCTTACCTAATCTCTTCGTGTTCAATTAGGGACAATCATATTTCACATATCACAATTTTGGTAATTGTAGCATATGATGAGATATTTTTCCTTCTTTGACTCATGCTTCATCTCTTTGTCTTTGGATGATATGAATCGTTTGAATCTCTTGAAGACCTTAACCATCTCTTCATCTTCTTTAACATCCTCTTCATCAAAATTGCATTCTTTATGTGTGGAGGATTTGAAAAAAACACCAACCTACTTTTTTGTTTTCTTTCTTTTCTTCTTTCTTTTTTTCTTATTACTCTTTCTCTTTTACCATCAACTCATAAGTGAGCCAGGAACAAATAAGCTCATCAAACGGCGATACCTTTGATTCTTTGCTTCGATGATCATCATCTTCTTCGACTGTTAGGACTTTGGAAGAGAGTAAATCAACTTCCTCAGAAGCTTTTCATTAATGATGGTTTCTCCATATCCCTTGAGATAGTTGACAATCAGAAAAAATATATTTGTCATAATTTTGATTTCTTCATCCGATTTCATCTTGAGATTCTCATAAGAACGGTTGAGAATTCTAATTTTTGTTTCCCTCAATTTATCGGTTCCTTCATGAGTAACTTGGAGCTTGTCCCTAAGCTCATTGGTATTTGAACAAGAGGAGACTCTTCAATGTTCATTTGAGCCTAATGCAAAAAATAGAAGAGCATCATTCTATTCTTCCAATAAACATAATTTGCTCCATTGAAATAAGGTGGCTTGTTGATCGATTGTAAATCTTCAATGTAGTAGGAGTCAGAGGTTGAAGTCATCTTTCTTGGTTCATTGTAGAAGTTGATAGTGCTCTCTTAGAACCGTCTCAAAGTTGTTAAACTGTCGATAGAGACATTCTATGATACCAATTATTAGCTTTTATGAACAATCAAAAAAGGCCAAAATGGGGGTGAATTGGCCTCTTACAAATTTTGTGGAAGTAAACGAAAAATAGAAATTTTGCACAACGATTTTAGAGTGGTTCGACTTCTAAACCAACTCTACATCCACTACCTTGGCATCCACATTAAGGATTTCTCAATTCCACTAGATTTATTCACTTTTGAGGATGAGGTGTAACCTTGCAACAACATACATGGTTGGTTTCAAAATTTCAAAAACCAAACCTACCTATTAAAATAAAAATTGATGAGATCAAATCCAAAGACTGAATTAGATTGGTTAGACCAATTTCCACCTAGTTTTACTCGTTTTTTAGTCTAATACGACTACCAACAGAAATAATTAGTCCAATAGGCACAAAAAATTATTTTGGGATCTATAGCATTTGTTACAGTCTTCATGTTCCACTGAAATAGTATTTTTTAGTTTATATTATTTTTTCATAATTTAAAAAAATCATAAAACTCGTCATTCCAAGGTGATGAGTTCTTTTGGATTTAAATAACTAGTTGTTTATAGTTATTTGTCAACGACATTATTTTGAATTGATGGAACTCGTCATGTGGGCATGATGATTTCCAACGGTCATTTTGATAAATTTTCAGTATAAATAGTAGTGAGGTGAGTTGATAGAGTTTATATGAGAATTAAATCATGCATTTTTTTGGAAGAATATTACGAAAAATTCTCAAAGAATCTATTTGGGTTTGATTACTTAGACTTTGACGATTCAGATTCAAGCTCATCTTCGTTTAGGGAGTGGGAAAATGAGGCAATAAAGTCGATACTTGATCAACATAAGGAGAGAAGGAAACTTGAAGAATAAAGAGATGAAAATCGAGAAGAATAAGAAGTATAAAAACTTACCAATCCAACATAGCAAATTACTTATAGAGAGGAATAAAAAAAGAAAAAGAAAAATAATAGTGTAGAAATTGAGAAGAAGAAGACAAAAAAATTGATTTTTATGTTGAAAAAAGGTTTTAAATATATGTATGAATTTGTGTTTAGTTAAAAAGTTTTTATGAATAGTTTGCAATTTTATATGAAATTTTAAAAACAAATACGGTTAATGATGTTCATAGATTATCCAAAAAAAGGTACAATAGACAACATGGGAATGAATTACGAAGGTTTTATTGGTCTGTTTGATATTTAGAAAGATGTTGACAATGCTTCCTATTGTAGCCTTCCCTTCTGTAGTGGCCACAAAGCTTGGGTAGACCTTACTCTCATTGAGGATCATCTATATCAGTTTGAATTCGACTAGATTTAGGTCGACCCTTCAACTTTCTACATAATTATAGATTTGGCAACCATTCTTCCAAAGTTATTGGTGGCTAATAAGCATCATTTGGGATATACTTAAACTCACAACTATATATGTTACGCATAGTATGCAGTCTATAACAATCACCAGCATAAGAGTATAGGTCAACATTAACTACATATAGGCAGTGAAAACGTGAGCGCATGAGTATCTAAAAGCTTGAAATCAACTACAATCACACCATCTTTTATTGAGATTACTAGTTTATGTAGCGGAATTGCACCTTCATCCGATCAACAAGTGCTTGGACAATGTAATCAGAATCGAGTTTGGTGAAATTATGAATAAACATTGATGTTACGTGTGTTTGATTTTTGTTCATTGTATTCTCAAAATCTGCAGCCCAATTTATGTCATCTTTGATCATTGTCTCTATTTTTCAACCTTTGTATGCCTAGACTTTACCTAATCTGAAGTAAGTCTCCTTTACAATACTTGCTACCGGAAGATGTTGAGTCCCTTTAAGCACTAAATTGATACATTCGGCAATATTAGTTGCCATATGGATGTAACATCTTCTTCGTATCTCCACAAATTTTTAAGCTTCGCACAAAAGTTTGGTTGTAGTAAAGCATATTCTAAAAAAGTTGGATTTAAGAATAATAACTAAAAAAATAAAGCAAAAATCATGAACAACAAAAAATAAAAGAATAAATTACCCATGTTGATAATCTCTTTATTTGATCTTTGTGTTCTTAAACCTTATCACAACATTGGAGACATAATATGACGTATGTAATATGCGAGACATACGTAGGGAGGAGACTACCTACTTCTTAATCTTATAAATCATGGCTAACAGCCCAGGTGAATGATATGATATCATACAAACCTCATCTTGAGTGACAATATGGGAACGTAAGTTG